AAAAAAAAAAAAAAAAAAAGCAACCACCCTAATCAGTCAAAGAAAATTAAGGAATTTAAATAATGAACATGTATTTCCTGTTTTGATTACTTAACTGATGAACAGAGGTTTTAATAAAATCATGAGTAACTATACATTATTTATCATGCCTTCAGTGATGTATAGAAGACTTCAAAAATATGTTCAGGTCACAGAGAGTCAGAGAGCCATTATTAGTTAATAGCAAAACAAGAAATCCTGATACATTATAATCATCAGTTGTCATGAGAATTAACAAAATACATAAAAAATAAAGTCTTTAGGCTGTATAGGACTATTTAAATAAATATGACACACAACATTTATCATAATAAAAAGCACATGGTTAAGAAGTAAATACTTCAGTGAAATAAAAATCTTGGCTATTTGGAGGTTAATTTTCTGTGTTATCATTGTTTATAAGTAAAACAGTTTTTTTGAAACAATATATTTAGAAAGAAGTATTTTTTACAATTCATAAAATTACAATTTATTTTACAATTCATAAAATAAAAATGAATTCTAAAAAAGCTAACCTTATCTTACATTGTTTCTTTCTACAAACTGGAAAAGACAATCAATATTTGATTTTGCTTTTAAATATTGCATGAAAGGTATAGAAACAATAGTATTCCATAGAAGGACAATTTAAGAATGGAAAAAAAAAGTTGCAAAATTGAAATTAGGTAATTCTATTTTTATTTTTTGATGAATTGCCATACTGTGTTCTACAGTAGTTTTACAAATTTGCATTCCCACCTACAGTCCAAAAGGGTTCCAGTTTGCCCATAATCTTGCTAGGATTGTTATTTTCTGCTTTTTAAAAAACATAGTATCCATCTTAATGGGTATGATGGTATCTCATTGTGGTTTTGATTTGCATTTCCCTAATGATTAGTGATATTGAGCATATTTTCTTGTGTTTATGGGCCACAGAGAATGGGAAATTGTTTAGTAAGTATTCTTTCATGAGGAGTTATTCTTTACTGAGCACAGAATTTCACTTTTGCAAGATGAAATGTTTCTGGAGATAGATGATGGTGAAGGTCGCACAATAGGAGTGTACTTAGTACCACTGAACCGTACACTTCAAAACAGTTAGAATGTGTATTTTACTACAAAGACGTATTTTTATAAGACAAAGAAATTGTGAAAAAATTAAAGTTAGCAACCTGAATATTAACTATAAAATGAAAATTCTTTCCATGTTAACTCTATTGTTTTCATGTATGAACTTCATATTAATGGGAAAAAAAAATAAAGACTAACTTTTAATTTTGTCCTCCTAAGCCAGAGGATTTTCTAAGAAACAAGTGTATAAAATTGAATAAATAAGTGGAGTTTGATAATTTTTACATAGTCATTTCATAGCTATAATTTTGTTTCCCTGGTAAATTATAAATCAATGCTAAAGTACAAAAACATACATATGTATTTTATGTTTAGCTTTTTATTTGGACTCCTTAGACAGTTTCTGAGAACCAAACTTATCTATAATATAATTAATATAACATCTATAATGTAATCAAATTTATTTTTTATATTTAGCAATTATAAAGTAGAAATTCAGTAGTAAATATGATTTAAATTAGTCAATTGGCTACTACTATACATATTGTAAATTTCTATTTGTTCTGTTTTTCCTCACTATAGTAATTCATCCATTGTACCAGAAAGCTATGACATGGGATATTGCAAAGAACTTCCACAACAAACAACCTAGAGGAACAAATGTGCTTTATAACCCTATGTTACCCCCAAATGCATTGTAAATGTCAAACTTTTGGAAAATAAAGCCCACGTATGCAGAAACGCAGACTCCCATATGCCTCCTCCGGTGCACCCGGCTGTGGATGGGAACCCCCGACTCCACAGAACTGCACCGTGCCCTTCAGACCCCACCATTCTTGGGCTCCACCTGGCCCCCTCGTCCTGGCCACAAGCAGCCTCCATTCCACGCTTAGCAACCATCATTGTGGCTAGGCTGCCGGCCACGCAATGCTCTCTTGCTGATCCCCTCAGGCCTGGGCCGACTGACCTCCGCAGGTCGTTGCAAGTGAAAAATTTTGCTGTGTAAGAGGACTGCATTTCAGTGTCCAGCGAGGAGGCATGTGTCACCCTCCCTGTTCCAGTAGCTCAGGCCAATCTGGGGAGAAGAAACAGAGCCTGTCTCTCCAGAGCCTCAAGGCTAGGCAGGCATCATCCACCTTGGTCTTGAACCTCAGGCCAGGCTGGGGTGGGGCGTGGTCAGAGCCCGCCCAGTTTCGGGGCCACCGTGCCACCAGAATCTGGTTGGATCTGCTAGTTGGAGGGCTCAGCCCAGAACTCAAACAGCTTACTTGACTCAAACTCAAACCTCACTTACTTGACTCTGCACAAGAGGGCGCATTTCCTGGGGAGGTGGGAGAAGAAGGGAGACTCGATGGGGTCTGACACCTACAGCCCATACTTTCTTTCCCATTCTGGGTTGAGGTCAAGAAGATCCAGAGTGTTGGGGGGTGACTCTGGGTAATACACCCTCTTCTAGTGGAGTCTCTTTCTAGAATTGGACAAAGTCTGGTTTTGGGGTGTGTGTGTGTGTTTGTGTGTGTGTATGTGTGTGTGTGTTGGGGCTTGGAAGTCTAGTGATTGGTGTAACATCTTACATCCGATGAGTGAAAAAAGGATGCCGTGATGCACTGGGAATGCTCACATGTTTTTCCTCACTGCAGATTCTGAAATACCATTCCTGCAAATTATAGGGCCACAGAATATTGAGAAAGACCCAATCATGGCGATGTATATATACACATTCATCTGTAAAATTATGTTTGTGCTCATATTTACTTTGTTCTTACATTTTGTCTGAGTGAAAATAAATGGTTTATTTAACTTTTTCATTGTTCTTCAAGTACTATATGCATACTAGGGAAATAATTATTAAATATTTTAAAATACACTTTCAAAAAGAAAATAAAAGAAAGCGTACCAAATTCCTAACACACAAAAAGGTTAAACAGCCAACTTGAATTTAACTAGCTTTATTGAGACATAATTAACATATCACACAATTCATCCATTTATTTATTTATTTATTTATATTTTTTTGAGACAGAGTGTCTCCCAGGCTGGAGAGCAGTGGCACGATCTCGGCTGACTGCAACCTCTGTCTCCCAGGTTCAGGCAATTCCCTTGCTTCAACCTCTCGAATAGCCGGGACTACAGGTATGTGCCACCACACCCAGCTAATTTTTTTTTGTATTTTTAGACGGGGTTTCACCATGTTGGTAAGGTTGGTCTCCAGCTCCTGACCTCAAATGATCCATCTGCCTTGCCTCCTAACAATTCACCCATTTAAGTTATGCAACACAATCGTTTTAGTAAGATCACAGAATTGTGCAAGCATTACCATAATCAATTTTTGCACATTTCATCTCCCAAAAAAAGAAACTCCAGAAACATTAGTAATCACTCTCCATTTTTTTCTCCCACTTTCCACCTAACTTCTTTATTTCCCAGCCCCAGGCCATCACTTATCTACCTTCTATCTCTATATATTTGTTTATTCTGAACCACAAAATGTAAAAAAAGCATGAATAGATAATAAGGGATTGCATTAAACTAAAAAGCTTTGATAAAGCAAAAGAAACAATAGAGTGTAGAGACAACCTACATAATAAGAGGGAATATTTGCAAATTATACGTCAGGTAAGGGGTTAATATCCCAAATTTATAGGTGACAACTCAATAACAAGAAACCAAATAATATTGTTTTGAAACAGGCAAAGGACCTGAATCAACATTTCTCAAAAAAAAACATCCAAAAGATCAATAGTTAATATGAAAAAATGATCAACATCACTTTTATCAGGGAAATGCCAATGAAAATCACACCCAATGTGATGTCACCTCACACCTGTAAAATGCATCTTTTGTTGACACAATTAAACATTAATGCTAAGAGATTTTCCACAAAAATTCTTAGAACTAATTAGAAAGTTTAAAATTAATTAATACTATATGTATGATAATGGTTAGAAAGCTGAAATGTGTTAAAGGAAGTGACATATCCAAGTCTCAATAACTTACTAGCTGTATTTCAAAATGATTCTAGCTTCTCTGCATCTTTAATTCCCTTAATAGTAAAACAGGTAAAGGCATACCTAACTCGTGGGTATGTTGTGAGACTTCAAGAGATATTTTATAAGGCATTTAGCCATGACACATCGAACTTGTTTTTTTACCTATTTTGTTATTATGAGTAAGGTACAGGCAAGTTATGTTGTTGAAACAGAGATTTGTGCCTTAAGCAACTGTGTATATTGTCATGCCATTCCCTGATATCTAGAATGTAGAAGGTAAAACATACATCTTTATTCTCAAACAATAGGACAAAAAAGGAATATGGAATATTTCATTGGCTTATTTCCTATACAGTTTGTATCAAATACAATTATAGGACACATCATGAAGTTCTACATATGAAAACCAACCCATGTAATAGAATGAAGGAAAAGAACCACATGATCAACCTAAGTGAAGCAGAATAAGCACTTGACAAAATTCGGTACACTTAATGATTAAAAAGCCTCAAGAAGCTAAGAATAGGGGAAATTATCACAAAATAATGGAAGGTATAAAAAAAAACCCACAGTGAATGTCATATGTAATGGCGGAACTTCCTAGAGACTTGCTGAATGACTTTGACCAAAATGCTGATAGTGATATGCACAATGAAATCCAGGCTGATGTGGTTTCAGTTAGAGATGAGGAATTGTTGGGAACTGGAGAAAAGGTGATTCTGTTCTTTAGCAAAGAGACTGGTGGCTTTTTGCCCCTGCACTAGAGATATGTGAAACTTTAAACTTGAGAAAGATGATTTGGGGTACCTGGTGGAAGAAATTTCTAAACATCAAAGCATTCAAGAGAAAGCAGAGCATAGAAGTTTGAAAAACTTGTAGCCTGATGATGTGATAGAAAAGAAAAACTCATTTTCTCGGGAAATATTCAAGCCTGATGCACAAATTTGCATAAATAATAATAAGCTGAATGTTAATCATCAAGACATGGGCAAAATGTATCCAGGGCATATCAGATTCCTTCATGGCAGAGGTAGCTGGAGGGTTGTTGTAGTGTAGGTCAGAAAAGTAAATCTTATGTAAGGCGTCTTTGTTTTCTGTTGATATAAAGGAGTATGTGAGACTGGGTACTTCTCTTTTTTTTATAAAAAGTTTATTCTGCTCACAATTCTGTTGTATGCAAGATTGAGCTTTGGTGAAATCCTCAGGCTGCTTCTACTCACTGTGGAAGATAAATGGGAGCAACCGTGTGCAGAGATCACATGGTGAGAGAGGAAGCAAGACGTAGGGGGAGGTGCCAGGCTCTTATTAACATCCAGTTCTTAAAGGAACTAACAGAGAGAGAACTCATTCATTACCATAAGGTTGCACTACGTAATTCATCAGAGATTTGCCTCCATGACCCAAACACCTCCTGTTAGGACCCACTTTTAATACTGGAAATCAAATTTCGACATTATATTTGGGGTGAACAAACATCCAAACTATATAGTATAAGATCTAAAGGTCAATCAATAAATTCACACTTTAAAAGATGAATTTTTTTGCAAATAGATTATAGATAGGCAAGGGGGAAAGCGGATAAAACAAGTATGGGACTGTAAAAAGTCAAGGAGAGAAAAAACAATGATTCAAACTAGGAATGATAAGCATAGCCAAAGTTTAAATATTTTTTGAAAGTAAACCAATAGAGATAAGTGACAAATTGAATGGCTGTTGTGACAGCATTACTTTATAATCCCGCAATTTCACTTCTAGGTAAATATCCAAGAGAAATAGAAACATATGTCCACAAAAAACTGGCACATTACAATTCATAGCAGCATTATCCATAATAGAGAAAAAGTAGAAAAAGTCCAAATGTTTGTCAATGGATATATAACAAAAATATAATGAATAAATGAAATGTACTTTTTTTTTTTTAACAAAATGTGGTGTAACAATGAAATGTTGTATTGTTGGCCAGGCGCAGTGGCTCTCACATGTGTAATCCTAGCACTTTTGGAGGCCGAGGTGGGTGGATCAACTGAGATCAGGAGTTTGAAACCAGCTTGGTCAACATGGTGAAACCTCATCTCCACTAAAAATATGAAAATTAGCCAGGTGTGGTGGTAGGTGCTTGTAATCGCAGTTACTTGGAAGGCTGAAACAGGAGAATTACTTGAACCTGAGAGGCAGAGGTGGCAGTGCGCAGAGATCATGCCACTGCACTCCAGCCTAAGGAAAAAAACAAGACTGTCTCAAAAAGAAAAAGAGTTACATTGTTGTTGCATTTTGACACTGTAACAGCAGATTTGAGGATTTGTGACAGAAGTCATGTGATTTATAATGCCAAAAACGTTTATTATCTGGCTCTTTACAGAAAAAAATATATGCTAACTACTGGACTAAATATAAGTTATGAGATAGACATTGTCTGATTGAATTAGAAAGCAAGGTCCACCTGTGTGCCTCTAGAAGAAACCTCTTTTTTTAAATTTTTTATTATTTTATTATTTTTTTATTTGTATTTATTTTTATTTTTATTTTTTTATTGCATTTTAGGTTTTGGGGTACATGTGAAGAACGTGCAAGATTGTTGCATAGGTATACACGTGGCAGTGTGATTTGCTGCCTTCCTCCCCCTCGCCTATATCTGGCATTTCTCCCCATGCCATCCTCCCACAACTCCCCACCCCCAGCTGTCCCTCCCCTATTTCCCCCCAACAGACCCCAGTGTGTAGAGCTCCCCTCTCTGTGTCCATGTGTTCTCAT